TTATGTGAAAACCCTTCAAAAAACCATGCAACACCTAAGAGCGTGATATTCGTCTTACGTGAAATTACAATTATTGACCACAAGAAGCAAATACCCAATCCTCCGTTGATATTTCGACTGAATTGCATCCAATTACTTACCTAAATGGTGATCAAACATTAATACATAGAGACAATTTAAACACAGTGATTAATAATTCAAAGTATACATGCATAATATCATAAATAATTCAAAGTATTCATGGCCTCGCTCTAGCAAAAATGGATTAGTTACACATATTCATAATTAAAATCAAAGAAAATATTATTATGAAAAAAAAGATTGAAAACACCTTAGAGTAAAAGTCTGAAATTTTCCAAGAACCTTAGCCAATTTCCTCTCTCCAAAGTCACATAAAAGAGAAGAAGAAAAAGACTTGCCCAGAAAAAACTTGCCTTGCCAAAGACCTCTATCGCTCTACATAAGCTATCCAATAATCCCCTAATAAAAGTCTTTGGATCCAATTAGGACACCAAATAATAATAAAATATATTAGAAAATAAAGCCCGAATTAAGCTATTAGAATATGAAAGGAAATTGTCCAGCCACGTTTTATGTGACAGTCTGTCCCGAACGTATATATTATTCATCCTTGAGAACGTGGAAATTTCTATTATACCCTTTTTATTATTGAGTTGTGTGTGTATAAACTAGGGTTTTGGACCAATAGGTTCTATTCCTTATTATTTGGACCTAATTAGAACAAAAGGCCTAAGGTTTTGGTTGATTGACTGCAACTGGACCACACACGCATACCCTCATCTTATCCCGTTGACCTTTCTCTCTCATCCCTCTTGCATTTTCTTCCATGTTCGTACAATTGTACGGACAAACCTTGAACCTTCACTTCTGTCCTCAGATCGAACCAATGGAGACCATATTCAAGTTCCTTGCGAGCCCAGGAACCCAGTGATACGAACGTGAAGATCTCATTTTCCCGAGAACCTGAGAACCCAGTTTTGGGTTACTGTTCATTCACTCGTGATTTCGAAGCTTTTAGGAGATTTTAAGCTACTAGTGAGCTTTAGGACGTCTTCACGAAGTTCGGAGAAGAAAAACGAAGTTTTTTGGACGTCAGGAAGTTGAGTTTATCAAGTTTCAAGTTTGGCCGGATTATCGAAGTTTCTCCGGCGAGATTCCGTTGGTCTTAGGTCCCCAAAGTGGTAAGGTTTTGTTCCTCTCATCCTAAGCTTTAATTTGGTATAGATTTCGTGGATTTTGGTTGAAAATCGAAAAAGATATGAAGGTTTGAGTATTTTTCCAGAAACCGGCACCCGCGACGATCTCGGACGATTCAAGGAAGACGAAGGGGAATATTCCGTCAAGTCTGACAGAATATTCTAATGGTGTCAGGTAACGCCGTTAATTTCTGTTAAGGTTTTAACGGAATATTCCTATCAGCAGTTAAGTTTTAGTTAGGGTTTGGCCGTACGTAGGGGTGCGTGGGTGGTTGGAAAATTTTTCTAAAAATTTGGGGATGTTCCTGAGGTTGAGTAGATCATGGTGGTATATTCAAATACCGAATTTGAGTTATTTAAGAGAAGTTATTTCCTAATTTTGTGTATATGCTTTAAATAACGTTTATTCAGTTATTTCGCATATAGGTGAAACCTATCCTGAGGACGAGCGCTATCAATTGAGGCTCAGGGGCTACGACCTTTCGACATATCAGTGAGTGGGCTTTTGGTTTTCCGTATATACCTATATACTTGAGATTTTTCCCAGAAAATGAATTTGAATGATTATACGTTTTTGAAATGCCATGCAAAGTATCTGCCTGTTTTATTTATGCATTAGTAGTTGCATATAATTATGATTGGTGCTGCGAACGCACAAGTAAGTGCTAGATAAGTTCATAAATTAAAGATTTGAGGTTACTTCAGTTATGTGAGATATAATGTGATGTATTGATAGCTTATAAACTTGCACCCCAGTGTTAGTGCTTCCGTCCAGAGTTAGGGCACAGTCATTCACGTGATGTTCACCTCCCGCACCATATGCTCACCTTGGATTCAAGTTAGGTGCACATGCTTGTCATACATACCACTTTAGGTGGTTCCGACTCGTAGGTGACCCGCGATTATTTGCACAACCTTCACGTGATTGTAGCACTAAATCATATTTATTTTACACATAGTCCTGTCGTACATACCACTTTAGGTGGTTCTGACTCATGTGCAGGATTTGATTTGATTTTGATCTGATTGAGATTGGTTATGAGCTATATACTCAGCCGTGCAGATTGAGTTAGAGGGATTTAGATGATGCTATATTTGACATTGATATATTTTGCCTGGATTACTTATGGCATTGCATTGAGATACTTTGACATGGTATACTTCTATGGATTTTCATCTTGAGTATGATTTCTGATAGAGCTTATTAATATTATTATTATTATTATTATTATTATTTTCTAGGAAATTATACAGGTTTTACGGCGAGGGGTTAAAACTTTTGAGAAATGAAACGATTTTCAAAAGCTTTGTTTTTGCCCACTCACACTTTCTGTTTTGCGCCCCTCCAGGTTTTAGGTAGAAGTGCTTGGTGGAACATGAGGATTTCGACGAGGGTTCTGACAGAACATCACAATGTAGGATCATCTTTGGGTGTTGTATAATTAGTACTTGTCCTGCTTGACTGCATCTAGGATATTTATGCTTTGGTTGTGTATTTCACATTTAATCTCGCACTAGCACTCTATCTTAGCTATTACTGCTAGTAGTTTGGTTTTTATTCATTCATATTTCCCTTATATCTTTATTGCTTCCGCACTGTGCACATGGCTACGTCACCCTCACGTGACGGCTAACATGCCTCGATCTAGGTCGGGGTATGTTATTTTAGCCCTTAAAGATTGGAACAACTTGAACACATCTTCAAAAGGGGCCGAATCCGAAATAGGCCATCTTAGGCTCCAAAACTCGCAATCAAGCCTAAAATGTCACTTTTCCAGCACTACGTATTGCTCCTTTATTCTATCGCTAGAAAATAATCGCTTGACGGAAAAAAAATCTGATATTTTGATACGATCAAGCTAAGTGACTCACAAATGTTCTCCAATTGGGATTACTCCAAAATTCATCCATTTGATCACGTTTTGCCCTTGAGGAAGTTGAAAGTCCTATATTGGAAATACAATTCAAAGATCAAAATTGTTCCAAAATAAACTAAAATTAGGGTAAAATATTTAATATAATATTGACTCATCAAATACCCCAACTTAGGTTTTTCCATGTCCTCAAGCAAAATAAGACTCAAACGATCGCAAAAACTTAACAAACTAGACACTTAGTTAAAACTTAACTAAGACAAAATTTCCACCTTCAAATCGCAACCCATAGAAAATGTTAAAAACTAGAACATCTTTTCAAAAGTTCCAATGAATCCCACCACAAAGTCTAAGCCATTTAAAGCTACTTAGAAAAGAATTCATGAATTTCATTTGGCGTAAAGTGAACTAATAGATTTGAGGAGACTCGATTAAAATCCTTACATGTCGTCCTCTTTATTTAGTACTTTACACACTTGTATATTCATTTTTTTTTTCGAATTTTTTCATATATATATTTTCAGTAACAGTAATGGTCATGCAATGTCAGTTTACTTAAATTTTCGATCCAACCCATGTAACGAGCTTTAGGTCAATGACTCCCAAACCACCAGGGGCTTTAGGGTACTAGGTATAGTACACCCCTAAAGACTTTTTAACTCGAGCTGAAAGGCTATGAAATCAACCACCCACCATGTCCCATGCCAAAACTTTACCGTTTGATGCGAGAATCACGATTGATTAGGCAAGACTGGCCTAGTTACTAAGCAAAGTCTCGGTGGAACAATTATTACATTATTTGTAACACATACTAAACTTTACTTTATTTCAAACAAAAAATTAAAACAAAAAATAACTTAGACGAAAAATAAGTGCTTCAATCTCACTTCTCATAAACCATGTTGGTGTGATGTGCAAATTTCAAAGTATAACTCATGAATTAGTGTTTGAGCAAAAACAAATAGAAAAAAGGACCCTGCTACGAGATTAGTTTTCACCATGTCTATTTGTTCTAATGTTTAAAATAAGGGAACTTTAACGAAAAGCACCCGGTACTGTTTACTTTAACGAAAAACCACATTTTTACACTAAAAAGTCAATCCTGGTACTATTCACTTTACCCTTTATTTTGTCCTTATCATTAAACTCAAAGTTTTCAAGCCCTTTTCATTAATTTTCCTTTAAAATAAACTATGAATATTAACTAAAAAAGAATGAAAATCTTTTTAACCAACTAAAAAATTAAAAATTCTTAAATTTACTTTCCCACCCCAAACTTAATTCACGCATTATCCCCAAGTAATAAAAGAGATCAAAGAAAAGACATTAAAAGAAGTTTATATAAAAAAATAAAAAATCTAACAACTTGACTGAAATAAAGAAAATAAAACAAAAAGAAAAATAAAAATAAACACAAAGGAAAGATGGTACCTGGGCTAAAAATGGAGTCCAAGATGTGGAGAAAACAATTGGGGCCTACTCGAGGGCAATCCAACAAGAACCTTAGCAGCCCACAGAAGGAGAAAAGAAATGGCTTGAAAATAATAGTCACACACCATCAAGGAGATTCGAGTAGCTTGCCAATAGGTTAATATACACGGATCCACTTGCACCATTCCCACGTGTGAAGGAAACCTAGCAGCTGCCTATTTAAGAAACTTTTAACACCTCGCCGTTTCCAGACAACCTCTCTCTCTAGATTTTCCCTGCAATCTCGAGCCCAGCGCCCATTCCTACAAACCCTAGCTGCTTAGTGCATCAATACTTCGCTCCCATTTCTCTCCCAGCCCTCTCTCTCTCTCCCCCTCTCTCTCCCAGCCCTCTCTCTCTCTCCCCTCTCTCTCTCCAACTCTTTGGCTAAAGCTAGTAGGTAGGAGCCACCACTAAGTTCTTATGTGTGAGCGTAGGAGAATAACAGGTCTCTTCTCAAAGCAATTGAAGAGTCAAGGACTCCTATCACTGCATTTTCTGAAAATAATGCATCTTCAACGTGGTGTTTGGATGGACCTTTTAAGATCCTACAAAATTTTCAAGAAAAGAAAATTTTGGTACTATTTTTACAAGGTGAATCACTCGGAAGTACAAAATCAGAGGAAATTTTTTGGTACTTCTCATGGATTGTAAGATCTTAATAAGTTCATCCAAACACCATATTGAGGATGCATAGTTTTCAGAAAATACAATGATACAAGTCTTTGATTCTTCTCTTGGAAGCTCATTGTCATCTATGAAGGTTTTCATCCCCTTCTGAACCAAATTTGCTATACAATTGGTCTGTAAGTTTTAGCGTGTATTTCATCTTAAGCTCCGAAATGTATCGTATCGCCATGAATAGGTAATATACTGCAGGCTAAAAGAGTTGGGAATGGCATGCGTACTTGGCTTATTGATCCTCGATTTTATATTATATATCTAATCATGTTCTTAGTATGTTTTGATAATTATTTTAGTGAAATTTTGATATTTATTTTTAATGTAGGACTTGTGAATTTTTTGTTTTGTGAGCAAAAAATGATCAAACGGATGAATTTTGAAGTAATTCACGGATGTTTGTGAGTGCTTCAACTTGTTGTTTGTGTCGAAGTTTCAGATTTTTCTAGGCAAGGAAATAAGGAACTAGCGTGCGGTGCTGACAAAGAGGCGTTTTGAGTTTATAGGGGCTTTTTGGCTTCCAAAATAGTGTTAGGTCTTTCTGCAGATATGTTCAGGACATCTAAAGCTTTAAAAAGAGCCATCTGAGGCCTATTTTGAAGCTGATTTAGGGCCTGCACCTGGACGTGGTTGTTTGGTTGCTGGCAGATTTTCCTTATCAACTAGGGATTTTGTTTCCTAGTTTCTCTTAATTTGTTTTGTTTCCTAGTTTTTAGAAGACCGTTTTCTAAGAAGAATTTAAATTGTAGTAGTATAAATAAAGGGGCCGGCCTAGGAATTCTCTACACAACTTAGGATTGCCGAAGCTCTGACAAATTGAATACTTAATTGTGGTTTCACTCTTTTTCTATTTGAATAAAATTCCTTTATGAATATGCATAACTAACTCTCCTTTGTTAGGGCGAAGCCATGAGCCTTAGCATGAATATGTAGTCTTTATTTAATTGCTTATGATATAATTATGCATGTATATTTTGAATTAATAATCATTGTGTTTAAACTGTCTTTATATCATAATGCTTAGCTACCATTAGAGTGTTTAGATAAGTAATCGGATGCAATTTCTATTGTCATGTCACTGTGAATTTGAGGAATTCTTCTTGTCATTGATAATTGTAAGTGCACTTAGGGTGAAAGTCACATCTTAAGGGTTGCATGATTTTTCAAATGGTTTTGCACAAAGCGTAATGAGTCATTGCTTGTTTGATATATGTTCTATCTTGAATGACACAAGTAGAATATACATTAGGAAAACTTAACCTTCAAAGTTGCATGCGTAATTTTTAAGTTATGATTTTGTTTTTGCTAAAGTTAGGTTTACCACCTTCTGGTTTGGGAGTTTCATTTGTCTTCCTTGTGAGAATACATGCCTCCACCAATGTCTATATAGTGTGCAGTTGCAGAAAGATGAGTGTGCGGGTGCAAAGCCAAGAGCTTGTGCCTGCCAACATAGCACCAAAGAGTGCAGACATGCAGAGAGAAGCTCTCCTATCTGATCAAGCCATGACCAACACACACACAGTTGTCAAATAAGTAAGGATATTCCGAAGAGAAGTCACCTATCATTACAATTTTTTTTTAAAATTATGCATCCTCAACGTGGTGTTTGGATGTACTTGTTTAGATCCTTAGATTTACAAAATTTTCAAAGAAAAAGAAATTTTGGCAAATTTGTTACAGGGTGAATCATTTGGAAGTACAAAAAATCAGAGGGAAATTTTTGGTAGTTCTGGTTTCACCTTCTGAGGGATGCACCTTATATAAGTCAATAGGAAAAAAAATTTGTTGCTTTAAATATTCTTTACATTGTACGATCTTGGCAAATTCAATCCAAACACTATCTTGAGGATGCATCAAGTTTTCAGAAAATACAATGATACGAGTCTTTGATTCCTCAATTGCTTTTAGATGGTGATCTTTCTGCTCTTTTTGGAAGCTCATTATCATCTATAAAGGTTTTAATCCCCTTCTGAACCAAATTGCTATACATAAAGTTGTACCGTGTATCTTCACCTTAAAGCTCAAAAATGCATCGTATCGCTATGGCTAGGTAACATACTCCATATTCTTTGGTGTTGTGGTGATAACTTACTGCAGGCTGAAAGAGCTGGAAATGGCATGCGTACTCAACTCATCAACGACTCTCTTCTTGTACGAACATGTGGAGGCTCTTCCTTAACTGGAGTCCTATATTCCTGCGAAGCAGTTTCCTGCTACCTTTGACGTGAACGCAACACTCAAAGGACAAGGTTAAAAAACAATTGCTAGTTCAGTGTCGGTTCGAAGGAACGAAGGTGATTTTTGCCTTGCCTTGTAATAAAGTTGAAAAGCGTTGGAAGGGTGATTGGTTGTGCCCATACTTTTTCTTTTGTGGACTTACCTTCATGTATAAGCAGTATGTTCATTGATACGCACATTTATAATTGTAATCTATTTGTCCACATGCTTAGTTCGAGCATCGAAAACAGGATGAAAAGAAGAGGGTTGTCCCTTTTATGTGTGTGCCGTGTTAGTTTTGAGCGTATTAGCAAAGGTTTGGCAAGCTGTGCTGTCCACGTAGTAATGCCACAGGATGAACACACTGGGAAGAGACATTGGACATTATGAATGTATGAATTACATGCACGCAAACACAAGAAGTAAGAAAGATGAACCGCATCTTCAACAAGGTTTCAGCTCACATTTTCATGATTACAAACAATACGACATGCACGCAAATACAACGAAGGTATGAATACATGAATTAACGACACAAAAAGGAACTTCAGAAAATGTAGAAACGCAAAAACACTCCAAATGAAGCATGATGGCAAGCATGGCAGTGAAAGTCTCTATAAGATATAAAGTACAATGGCCCAAACAGGGTAGACGAACAGAATGATTATGCCAACAGTGTTCGATATTCCACCAGCTTTGGTGAAAGCGTCTCTGAACCCACCAGCTGCCCGGATGTGTTCTTGCAGCAAATAACCGGCGATGAGAAGGCATATTACAACACCAATCCAGTCGCCTCTCAGAGTGTTCGCAAATAAACTAGGAGCAACCACTATAAGAAGAATCAACGCTGCGGGCAATTCCAGCCACTCTGGAGGTTATAAACATAGTTAGTGACCACAAGCAGTAAACAGAAGGTGATTAGGATAAAGTAAGCAACAAATTCTAGGTCATAAACTTGGAAGCATAGACATGTTCGATCAGCAGTGGGAATAAAAACTATATTTTACCTGGGAAACGTTTAGGGAAGAAAAGCCGTAAGACAACACCAACGAGAGCAATCCATTTTCCAATCTCTCCCCTGGAAAAATAAAGATTTTTAGGGAATAGAACGAACCAAAAACACCGACAACAGGAAATATATAACTTGTACGGTAAGTATGTGTGGAAAATAACCTGAAGATGTTGAACAATATTGAAGGAAGGGTAAAGAAAATGTAGGGGATCAATAGCCCTGTAAGAATGTTCGATTTCCAGTTTGTTCGATCCAAGATCAACAGATAGCTACAGTCAACACAGAAACAAATAGGTGAGGTTCATATATTTTCCCAAATCAGTACAAGTGAAATTAAAATATCACACAAAGCACAATTAAGAACATAAAAACTAAACCAAACTGACATAATTTACATAAAAAAACTTGGAAAACTGAATCATAAAATAACAGAAAAACAGTGATCTAAACTATTGAAAACTAACGAAAAAAGTTCAATACAGGATCTGAAAAACTGCATCTCCAAAAAATAACAATAACCCAGAAAAATATCAGTTACCATGAATTTAAGACCTCTAAGATCATCCAAAAATCTTAACATCCAATCGAAAACAAGGAGAGAGAAGACATACATTGCAGCAAACGAAGCAACCCATTTGAGAAAAGCAGTTCCGAATCCCAAGCTGCCGAGGCGGACGGCGTGGCCGGCGAGCTTCTTAGCAGCAGCGCCGAGCTCTTTGAAATCGCTGCTGATCAAATCGGCGGCATCAGATTCAGTCATCATCTTCAAGTAGCTCTGTTTTTTTGCCATCTAGAGGAACAGGGACAGGGGAAGACAGGAACAGAGTTACTAGAAAGGGCAGAGACAGTGGAAGGGATAATTGGATTTGACCTTCAATTGCTGTATTTGTAAGGATCTAAATAAAAGATCTATAAAATTATTGCCGCCGCGTGGCAGAGCAGCTGCACCACTAATGTAAAGCAAGTGGTGAATTTGTATTTAATTTGGAAAAATGATTCGTTGGATTTTTTTTTTTCTTAAGATTTTAAGAATTTTATAATCATAATCGTTTAATATATATTGTGTGATTAAAAAAATTTATATATTATTTATATATATTTTTAAATTTTAAATTTTAAAATAATTTATGATCATATAATATACAATAAACTGTTACGATCAATGAAAAAAAATTTCGGCGATAATCTTTTTCCTTTAATTTGTATTTGCACCAGGTCGGTCGACATGACACCATGTGGCTTGTCACATAGTTGGGACCTACTCCTTATCTCCTTATTAATAATTTTCTCAAGCTACCTATTAATAATTTTTTTGTCAATTAAAAAAATTAAATTAATCCTGACAACAAAATTTAAATAAAATAGCTAAAATAAAAGTTATGGATATAGTACAAAATAATTTTAGTTTTTTTTTTTTCCAAAAGCATAAATCATATCAGTAAATTTTTAGTGATAAAATAATCTGAAGGTTGTCACTAAATTTTTTAACGAGTATTTTATATTTTCTCTTTTTATAAATTTTGTGTTTAACTTTTTAATATATACAAGCATTATATGTATACATTTCTAGTTATATTTGATTGTTTTGTGCTTTCTGTAAGTTATTGAGGCTTGACGAAACATATTTATATGATATCCATTGAACTTCATTTTCAGGATATAAAGTAGATTATCCTTTGTGATCTACTTTGAATTTAATTATATATTTGGAAAAATTGTATACGTTGACACCTTTATCATGAATGGTATTTGAAAATGATCGTTTCAATTTAGTTTTCATTTGTAAGTGAGAAATTTTAAGTTAAATTTTTATAAATAATGAGTTTGAGACTAATTATTATTAAGAGTTAAGTCCGGATAACTGCCTAACCTTTAGGGATGATTCTAAATTAGTCCTAACCTTTCAAAACATTCCAAATAACTACTTTAAGGTCTTAAAGTTTCAAAAATGAACATCTATTAGGTTCATTCAGTGATGACGTGGATAAACATTAAGTGTGTTTAAACTCTCAAGTCATTTATTGAGAGAATATCCAAATTGGCCTCATTTAGCCAAACAAATTTATGGTTTAACTTAGTTAAAATGAGTCAATTTGGGAGATTAGAATCCCAAAGACGTCGATTAGTGAAAATCAACTTTAGTGTTTATCCACCTCATTATTTAATGCTATCAAAGTCATCACTTAGTGTGGCTAAAATATATGGTGACCTACCAAATGCCTAGTTTTTTTTTTTAAATTTAGGTAGTTATTTAGAATGTTTTAAAAAGTTGAGATTAATTTAGGAGGGTGTATTCAATTAGGAATCTAAGAGAGTTTAATGTATTTATTAACTCCCATGAATTTCATGAATTTTAATTGATTCACATAAAATTCGGTGAATTGTACAAAGATTTGATATGAAATTTGTTATGAAGTTCAATGGAGTTTTATGAAGTCTAATAGATTCAGTGGGCAATTTTTGATTTTTTTTTTTGGTAAGAGTAAATCTTTATTTAACTCATTAGACTGCAAGCCACAAATTCAATTCTTGCACATATTATATGGTTAGCTAAACTTTTGCCTCTCAAGTTATTCATTTTTTTGGCCACTTAGTACTACAATCTAGTGGTATTTCTTTTTACTTATAAGTGAGAAGCCTTAGGTTCGATTTTCACCAAAGACAAATTTAAACCAATCGTTTGTTCAAAAAAAAAAAATCTTTTTGAGCTCTATCCAATCCAAGCAAAAAAAAAAAAAAAAAAACACAATATACCTTGAAGCTATATCAAGAAGTCTAGGTTCGCCAAAAACCAATAAGCAATACACAAGAAGTCTAGGTTCGCCAACAACCAAAACCAATAAACTTTACAGAATAAGAAGGGATGAAGAATATATACTTTGCAATATATCACAGTAGATAAATCATCATCAGTTCTCATCTCGGACTCCCGCTAACACTACGGCCTCGTTTGGCAGCTCGGACTGTACTGACTATTTCTGTCGGATAAGATAAATAGCCACCGGATAGTACTGACTAAATTGGTCGGGCGTTTGGTGCAGTATCGGATTAATGACCGTATTATTTATACTGTGTTTGGTATTGAACCGGATAGGACAAGAGAAAAAAAATTAACAAATCTTTCTTAGCTTTTAGACTCTAATATAATGCTTTATTGATTCGTATAAAGATACAAGCACCTTTGGTACTAATTTTGAGTTAAGTTTCCTGCCTTGTGTTTTGTTAATTTGATATTATTTTTTTTCCCATTCTAATTTGGCCTCTGTGGTTGTCACGTATATATTCACACATATCTATATCCAGATAAAAATTCCAATCAACAATTCAAACAACCCTAGTCCGAAATTCAACAATTCAATGCCAATCAACAATTCAACAACCCTAGTCCGAAATTATTCACACATATATATATCCAGATAAAAAGTAAAATTCACATAAAAATTAAAAAAAATGGATAGAGTGATGTAAAACACAAATTTACATAATCAATTGCATAATTAGAGAGAAAATATATAAATAGATTCAATCAATTGCAAGAAAAATAGGAGGAGGGGGAAGAATAGAGGGAGGGGCGGAATCCCAGAAGAAGAAAATTGAAAAGACGAAAATGTGATTCAAACGAAGAAGAAGACTGTGAGAAGACATACCTGGGATGAGAGCAAGATGGCGTCTGGAGAGGAAGAGAATGAAACGCTGCGTTAAGAGGTTGCGGTGGTGGTGGTGGGGGGAATCGAAATTTTGGGGAAAGAATGGGGAAGTTGAGGGAAATAGGATGATGGTCTTTCAAAAAAGGGAGCTGTGGGATTTTGCTAAATTTTTGGTTCGAAGATTTTTGTTAGATCTGGTGGAAAATGGAAAAATGAAAAGAAATGGAAGGAGGGTAAAACGGAAGATTGCGTCGGGAGAGAAAGCGGAAGATTGCGTCGGGAGACAAGAGAGCCCGACTAATTATACCGTGAAAATGGATGGTATAAGCAAGCGGGTACACACCGTGTAAAAAAGGTGGGCCCGGATTATTTAATCCGGTGCTTATTTAATCCGAACTGTCACCAAACACCGTACACCGTATTATTAGTACTATCCGATCCGTTATACGGTGTGCCAAACAGGGCCTACTTCTGCTTGTGTCTTGTATGGAAATGAAGGTGTAGACTTAAAAATTGTCAATCGTGATTTGACTATATACACAAAATATTCTCTTGACCACATTTTTCGAAGAAGCATGGTGAAGATTGAACAATTCTAGTGAATTTTCGGGGCCACGCCCTTGACCAGAAAAATCTTGGAGGTGATATCAAACACTTCAAAAAGAAGCTAAAAACTGACGACGATTTGCAAATCCACAATCGATGAAGAAAAGCTTACTTGGATGAACACGGAACCTATCGATAAAATCTAATAGTATAACAATAGAGGCTTAAGAAATAAAAATATGTACTTTGCGGCACTTTAAGTCCATTCCTCCTTGATAAACATCAAACAACACTTTTGAATCATGGGTCCAACCTTCCCATCTACTAAAAATGTATATGCATTCCAAATCAAGGTTACACGCAGCCAATACATTTTGTGATATTATCTATGACGATCACGATGACTACTAACTTTACATCCTTTTACCATTGTTGGTATATGTGTGCCATCAATTGCTCCAATACAACTCCACATTAAATATAAGAGTTTATATGGTGTATCTTTTTACAATGATAACAACAAAATTAACAAGAACACTATATATATATATATATATGGGATAGGATCAATGGACAAATATTTTTACATTTCTTTATAGCCTTTAGATTTTATAACATCCAAGGGTTCTTATTAATTCATTTAATACTATGAATGCTTACATGGATTTTAATTAATATTAAAGTTAAAAAAAAAAAAAAATCTTAGCTGTAATCGTGAAAATGAGGAATGTGGTTTGCAACGTCCCTCTCCCCCAGGTCTACAACTTCCCTACTCGAATATTCATTAGGTAAGCAAAACAAAATACTAATTCTATATTATTGTTCATGTAAGTAGGGTGATCAAATTAGGTTTTGGATTATTTTTTTTTTATTTTTTTTTAGTTTTGTCAATTCATGTATTTGGCAAGTTCTTTTCAAATCTAACAAACAAATATCTCAATATGCTGTCCATGTGTTTCGATTGAAAAATTGTTGAAGCATGGAAACGAAGCGAGGGAAGAAAATCGATATCTAACTAATCTAGAACCAAAAGCATACATTCTCATAGGTACTGCATGAACATTACATAAGCTACCCTTTCGAGTTCAATCGAGATTCAAAACATATGACAGCGTATTGAGATAGTTGTTTGTTTGATTTGAAAAAATAAAAGAGTATAAAAATCTTCAAATACATGAACAGACAAAACTAAATTTTTTTTCCAAATCTGAATTTAATCATCATACATATACGAACAAGAATTTCGAATTTAGGTTTTTGTCTTGCTTACCTAATGAGATTCAAGCATGGAAGTTGCAGACCTGGGAGAGATAGGAGGTTGCAGACCAGGGGATGGATGGAGGTTGTAAAGACCTCCTTTAGGGTTTCTTCCTTTTTATTTTATTTTTAGTTTTCTTTCCAATTTTTTTTTTAAGTTTTATTTTTATCTTTAATATTAGTTAAAATCTACATAAGCATTCATGACATTTAATGAATAAATAAGAACCCTTTGGATGTTATAAAATTTAAAGGCTACAAAAAAATGTAAAAATGTTTGTAAAAATATTTATGCTTTGATCCTATCCCTATATCAAGTAGCGGAGCCAAAGTGGATGCAATGGGATTCATTGACCCCAATAAGTTTGTTGGACCACTCTTTTTCTTTCGGTGCAAAGAAGAGAAAAAATGGGAAGAGCATTGCTTTGGTTTTCCGAAGAATAAAGAAAAAGAAGGGTTGATGTCTTTGGTTTTATAATGGGAGAGAAGACAAAGCCTTTTATTTTGGCAGCATCCAATATATATTAAGGCATTTGTTATTGTTTGGACTCGATTTTACA